TTCTTCAATTTGAACAGAAATTAATTTTTTAATTTTTCGAGTTGGTACTACTCACTTCTAATAGGTTGATTAGATCAAATTTTAAGGAGTAAAAAAAACATACCAAATTTTTTGAACTATAATAGAGGGAAGAAATATTTGAAGATGAAAAATCTTAAATAACTTTTCTTCAAATTAATTTTTTAATTTTTTGAGTTGGTACTACTCACTTCTAATAGGTTGATTAGATCAAATTTTAAGGAGTAAAAAAAACATACCAAATTTTTTGAACTATAATAGAGGGAAGAAATATTTGAAGATGAAAAATCTTAAATAACTTTTCTTCAATTTGAGCAGAAATTAATTTTTTAATTTTTCGAGTTGGTACTACTCACTTCTAATAGGTTGATTAGATCAAATTTTAAGGAGTAAAAAAAACATACCAAATTTTTTGAACTATAATAGAGGGAAGAAATATTTGAAGATGAAAAATCTTAAATAACTTTTCTTCAATTTGAACAGAAATTAATTTTTTAATTTTTCGAGTTGGTACTACTCACTTCTAATAGGTTGATTAGATCAAATTTTAAGGAGTAAAAAAAACATACCAAATTTTTTGAACTATAATAGAGGGAAGAAATATTTGAAGATGAAAAATAATTTTGAAGATGAAAAATCTTAAATAACTTTTCTTCAATTTGAACAGAAATTAATTTTTTAATTTTTTGAGTTGGTACTACTCACTTCTAATAGGTTGATTAGATCAAATTTTAAGGAGTAAAAAAAACATACCAAATTTTTTGAACTATAATAGAGGGAAGAAATATTTGAAGATGAAAAATAATTTTGAAGATGAAAAATCTTAAATAACTTTTCTTCAATTTGAACAGAAATTAATTTTTTAATTTTTTGAGTTGGTACTACTCACTTCTAATAGGTTGATTAGATCAAATTTTAAGGAGTAAAAAAACATACCAAATTTTTTGAACTATAATAGAGGGAAGAAATATTTGAAGATGAAAAATCTTAAATAACTTTTCTTCAAATTAATTTTTTAATTTTTTGAGTTGGTACTACTCACTTCTAATAGGTTGATTAGATCAAATTTAAAGGAGTAAAAAAAACATACCAAATTTTTTGAACTATAATAGAGGGAAGAAATATTTGAAGATGAAAAATAATTTTGAAGATGAAAAATCTTAAATAACTTTTCTTCAAATTAATTTTTTAATTTTTTGAGTTGGTACTACTCACTTCTAATAGGTTGATTAGATCAAATTTTAAGGAGTAAAAAAAACATACCAAATTTTTTGAACTATAATAGAGGGAAGAAATATTTGAAGATGAAAAATAATTTTGAAGATGAAAAATCTTAAATAACTTTTCTTCAATTTGAACAGAAATTAATTTTTTAATTTTTTGAGTTGGTACTACTCACTTCTAATAGGTTGATTAGATCAAATTTTAAGGAGTAAAAAAAACATACCAAATTTTTTGAACTATAATAGAGGGAAGAAATATTTGAAGATGAAAAATCTTAAATAACTTTTCTTCAATTTGAACAGAAATTAATTTTTTAATTTTTTGAGTTGGTACTACTCACTTCTAATAGGTTGATTAGATCAAATTTTAAGGAGTAAAAAAAACATACCAAATTTTTTGAACTATAATAGAGGGAAGAAATATTTGAAGATGAAAAATCTTAAATAACTTTTCTTCAAATTAATTTTTTAATTTTTTGAGTTGGTACTACTCACTTCTAATAGGTTGATTAGATCAAATTTTAAGGAGTAAAAAAAACATACCAAATTTTTTGAACTATAATAGAGGGAAGAAATATTTGAAGATGAAAAATCTTAAATAACTTTTCTTCAAATTAATTTTTTAATTTTTTGAGTTGGTACTACTCACTTCTAATAGGTTGATTAGATCAAATTTTAAGGAGTAAAAAAAACATACCAAATTTTTTGAACTATAATAGAGGGAAGAAATATTTGAAGATGAAAAATAATTTTGAAGATGAAAAATCTTAAATAACTTTTCTTCAAATTAATTTTTTAATTTTTTGAGTTGGTACTACTCACTTCTAATAGGTTGATTAGATCAAATTTTAAGGAGTAAAAAAAACATACCAAATTTTTTGAACTATAATAGAGGGAAGAAATATTTGAAGATGAAAAATCTTAAATAACTTTTCTTCAAATTAATTTTTTAATTTTTTGAGTTGGTACTACTCACTTCTAATAGGTTGATTAGATCAAATTTTAAGGAGTAAAAAAAACATACCAAATTTTTTGAACTATAATAGAGGGAAGAAATATTTGAAGATGAAAAATAATTTTGAAGATGAAAAATCTTAAATAACTTTTCTTCAATTTGAACAGAAATTAATTTTTTAATTTTTTGAGTTGGTACTACTCACTTCTAATAGGTTGATTAGATCAAATTTTAAGGAGTAAAAAAAACATACCAAATTTTTTGAACTATAATAGAGGGAAGAAATATTTGAAGATGAAAAATCTTAAATAACTTTTCTTCAAATTAATTTTTTAATTTTTTGAGTTGGTACTACTCACTTCTAATAGGTTGATTAGATCAAATTTTAAGGAGTAAAAAAAACATACCAAATTTTTTGAACTATAATAGAGGGAAGAAATATTTGAAGATGAAAAATCTTAAATAACTTTTCTTCAAATTAATTTTTTAATTTTTTGAGTTGGTACTACTCACTTCTAATAGGTTGATTAGATCAAATTTTAAGGAGTAAAAAAAACATACCAAATTTTTTGAACTATAATAGAGGGAAGAAATATTTGAAGATGAAAAATAATTTTGAAGATGAAAAATCTTAAATAACTTTTCTTCAATTTGAACAGAAATTAATTTTTTAATTTTTTGAGTTGGTACTACTCACTTCTAATAGGTTGATTAGATCAAATTTTAAGGAGTAAAAAAAACATACCAAATTTTTTGAACTATAATAGAGGGAAGAAATATTTGAAGATGAAAAATCTTAAATAACTTTTCTTCAAATTAATTTTTTAATTTTTTGAGTTGGTACTACTCACTTCTAATAGGTTGATTAGATCAAATTTTAAGGAGTAAAAAAAACATACCAAATTTTTTGAACTATAATAGAGGGAAGAAATATTTGAAGATGAAAAATAATTTTGAAGATGAAAAATCTTAAATAACTTTTCTTCAATTTGAACAGAAATTAATTTTTTAATTTTTTGAGTTGGTACTACTCACTTCTAATAGGTTGATTAGATCAAATTTTAAGGAGTAAAAAAAACATACCAAATTTTTTGAACTATAATAGAGGGAAGAAATATTTGAAGATGAAAAATCTTAAATAACTTTTCTTCAATTTGAACAGAAATTAATTTTTTAATTTTTTGAGTTGGTACTACTCACTTCTAATAGGTTGATTAGATCAAATTTTAAGGAGTAAAAAAAACATACCAAATTTTTTGAACTATAATAGAGGGAAGAAATATTTGAAGATGAAAAATCTTAAATAACTTTTCTTCAAATTAATTTTTTAATTTTTTGAGTTGGTACTACTCACTTCTAATAGGTTGATTAGATCAAATTTTAAGGAGTAAAAAAAACATACCAAATTTTTTGAACTATAATAGAGGGAAGAAATATTTGAAGATGAAAAATAATTTTGAAGATGAAAAATCTTAAATAACTTTTCTTCAATTTGAACAGAAATTAATTTTTTAATTTTTTGAGTTGGTACTACTCACTTCTAATAGGTTGATTAGATCAAATTTTAAGGAGTAAAAAAAACATACCAAATTTTTTGAACTATAATAGAGGGAAGAAATATTTGAAGATGAAAAATCTTAAATAACTTTTCTTCAATTTGAACAGAAATTAATTTTTTAATTTTTTGAGTTGGTACTACTCACTTCTAATAGGTTGATTAGATCAAATTTTAAGGAGTAAAAAAAACATACCAAATTTTTTGAACTATAATAGAGGGAAGAAATATTTGAAGATGAAAAATAATTTTGAAGATGAAAAATCTTAAATAACTTTTCTTCAATTTGAACAGAAATTAATTTTTTAATTTTTTGAGTTGGTACTACTCACTTCTAATAGGTTGATTAGATCAAATTTTAAGGAGTAAAAAAAACATACCAAATTTTTTGAACTATAATAGAGGGAAGAAATATTTGAAGATGAAAAATCTTAAATAACTTTTCTTCAAATTAATTTTTTAATTTTTTGAGTTGGTACTACTCACTTCTAATAGGTTGATTAGATCAAATTTTAAGGAGTAAAAAAAACATACCAAATTTTTTGAACTATAATAGAGGGAAGAAATATTTGAAGATGAAAAATCTTAAATAACTTTTCTTCAATTTGAACAGAAATTAATTTTTTAATTTTTTGAGTTGGTACTACTCACTTCTAATAGGTTGATTAGATCAAATTTTAAGGAGTAAAAAAAACATACCAAATTTTTTGAACTATAATAGAGGGAAGAAATATTTGAAGATGAAAAATCTTAAATAACTTTTCTTCAATTTGAACAGAAATTAATTTTTTAATTTTTTGAGTTGGTACTACTCACTTCTAATAGGTTGATTAGATCAAATTTTAAGGAGTAAAAAAAACATACCAAATTTTTTGAACTATAATAGAGGGAAGAAATATTTGAAGATGAAAAATCTTAAATAACTTTTCTTCAAATTAATTTTTTAATTTTTTGAGTTGGTACTACTCACTTCTAATAGGTTGATTAAATCAAATTTTAAGGAGTAAAAAAAACATACCAAATTTTTTGAACTATAATAGAGGGAAGAAATATTTGAAAGAATTTTAGAATTTTAATTTAAATGCTTATTATCAGTTTTGTTTTTAAAAAATAACGAAGTTCTTATCGTCTAATGGTTAGGACACTACTCTTTCACAGTAGGAATATGGGTTCAATCCCCATTAAGAATATAAAAATTTATATATTAAAACGTGAGAAAACATCTTTTAATGAAAAAGTGTTGATTAAGGCGAGTATAACTCAGTTGGTTAGAGTATTAGGTTGTGATTCTAAAAGTCACAGGTTCAAATCCTGTTATTCGCCTCGTTGTATAGAAAGTAAGTAAAACAATAAAAAGTTATTACAGCACTAAAAGGATACTTAAGCAATAAGAGTTTTATATGGACGTTTTCTGACGAAATGTTGCGTGGAGTATACTAGTACTGAGAAATGCAATTTTCCATAAATTCGACAAATCGATCTTCAACTGATAGAAGAATTGTTTAAAAAGTTTTAAACAAAAAATTTGGTGAATTGAATCATCTAAGTAGCCAAAACTTAAAATCAACCGAGACGTTGTCAGTAGTGGCGAGCGAACGCAATCAAGACTAAAAAACTTAAATATTTTATTTAATAATTAATAGCCATAGAAGGTAGCCTATGGATAGGATAGCCCTGTAAAATAAAATTTTAGTTTTTGTTTAGTAAAATAGATCAAGTCATGATCCATTTGAATACTGAGGGCCCACCCTCAAAGTCTAGGAATCTTATTGACTGATAGTGGAAAGTACCGTAAGGGAACAGTGAAAAAGACTTTGCGAAAGTGAAAAGACTTTGAAATTTAGTGCTAACAATCTGTCGTAGTTTTTAAAATGATGACGTACCTTTTGCATAAGTGCGACACGAAGTGTCGTCTTTCATTTCCGTGAGATCCGGAATCAGCAACGTTACGCTGATATTCTATCTTGACATGCATTCAAAGTAACTTGAAAGTGTGAAGCTCAAGAGACAATGTAGCCATATTCTTAAGTGGTTTAAGATGAAGGAGCTAGAATAAATCATCCATGTCTAATGTAATGTGAACCAATGTTCGAAGCCTCGTAAAGGTGTATTTGATCAACCATGACAAAATCAAATAATTTGATAAAGATCTAAAGCTTTATGCTCTTTAGATAGTAACGTTAAACTATCAACGGGGTAAAGTTGGAGGCTAAAGATGATATTAAGTATGGAAGACGGGGAACGTGGTAAGCCCTATGCTCTTTTGTTTGTTAGGCAAGAGGACAAGAAGCAATTCTTGTTATCGGGTAGAGGGTAGAAGATTGAATAAAAAGCTAATGCTGCACCTGTAATGGGTACGGATAGAACCCGAAATTTTAATTTCTATGGTTTAACCTGAAAGGGTGCTGACTTATTTTATAGGTGTGTTAAACCAACAAGTACTTGTAAGAATTATTAAATTCTAGATATGAAAAATTGAACCAAAAGTGGTTTAATACAAATTGGAACAAAACTAGAAAATATGTAAAAAATTTACAAAAAGAATTGGTGGTGGCATATAAGAATAATAGATATTATGTGGTATGAACAGGCATTAAGTATACTGCATCGTTCAATACCGTGTAAAAAATGGTAGTTAGTATGCTTTGGGAAACAAACTATCTGTCATGCTACATATACTATGAGATATTACATATACCAGAAAAGATCGATATTACATCAATCTTGAATTAACATGCTTTAGCCGTGTGCGGTGAAAGTCGCATGCACGGTTATGAGGGGGGGAAAGCTTGCGAGGGCCTACCTATCCCAATTGGACCAACAAGTTTATTTTAGTGGCGAGCTTAAATAGTTAGAGTATGGAGGCACAAAGAAATTAAGTTTTAAATTGCTGTTTAGTCGCTAAAATAAGACCCGAAACTAAGTGATCTAATCATGAACAGGTTGAAGTTTAGGCGGAAACGCCTTTCGGAGGACCGAACCCGTGTGTGTGGAAAAATACTGGGATGATTTGTGATTAGGGGTGAAAGGCTAATCAAACTTAGAGATAGCTGGTTTTCTGCGAAATCTATTGAAGTAGAGCGTTTAAAGAACTTTGTTAAGGGTAGAGCTCTCGATAAACAATGGGGGTTTAACGCTTTACTGAGTTTATTGAAACTTCGAATATTAATTTAATGACTTTAAACAGACAGACTATGAGTGCTAAGATTCATGGTCAAGAGGGAAACAGCCCAGACTATTAACTAAGGCTCCTAAAAATAATTAAGTGATAAAATTGTGAAAAAATGTGAACAATCGAAAGGTAAGCTTAGAAGCAGCTATCCTTTAAAGAAAGCGTAACAGCTCATTGGTTTAGTTTTTTTGCATTGAAAATGTATGGAACTAAAATTGTTTGCCGAAGTTGTAGATTTATAGATTAAATGGTAGCAGAACGTTCTGTAGATTTAAGAAGTTTTATAGTGATATAAAATGGAGATATCAGAAATGAAAATGTTGGTATGAGTAACGACAAACAATGTGTGAAACATTGTCGCCTTAAGTTCAAGGTTTCCAAAACAAGGCTAATCCGTTTTGGTATTTTCATTGTTAATCGGTCTCTAAGGATAAAAACGAAAGTTTTAGTCTAATGAGGCAAAAATAATTTTTTATTTTTTAAAAGTGACAGAATGTAAATATGATTTTTATTTGATGGTTATAATAAAAGTTGTAGAGCATTTTCTAGAAATAGCTTTTAATAGTGTAACCGTACCCTAAACCGACACAGGTGAACAGGTTTAGTAAACTAAGGCGCTTGAGATAATTATGTTGAAGGAATTCGGCAAAATGACTCCGTAACTTCGGAATAAGGAGTGACTTAAGAAGGGTAACCTTTTTAAGTTGTCACAAAATCGGGGACAGCGACTGTTTATTAAAAAGTGCGACAAGAAGTTATTCAAAATAATGTATAAAAATATACTATCCTTTCTAATTGGGATAAGTCTATGGAGAGTGCGTTGGGTGTGAGCCCAGGGTGCGAAGCAACCGGATAATGTAATTCGTTGGTTTAAACTCCTATGACCAATGTTTGCTAGACTAGATTTATATGGTTAGCGAAAGCAAACTGCATATTATTAGGCCTCGTGAAAAACAGTCCTTTCGAAATGGAGTTAATTGTGAAAGATTTGTAGATGGACTACTAGTCCTTTTTATGCTAGTAGTAATTAGAACGATATCTACCGGGGTAGAGTGCAGAACCTAAGTAAATTTATGTATTTTGAATAGAACTTGGTAAGCCTCAATTCTTCTTTAATGAAAGAGGTAATTTTGTAAGAAATTATAACGGAATGGAGGTAGAAGATGGTGCAAAAAGCAAATGTCGAATTGTAATGATCAGAATAGAATCTTTTGATTTAACCCGAAAGGGTGCTGACTTGCACGTATGGCCAATTTTATTTAATATTTTACTTTGTATCATTTAAACTTCAAAGTGAAATTTTAAAAGCTTTGTATTGAAGGTATAAAAAATGTACAAAAGTGCTGCATGCCTTGAACTCGTAACTTTGCAGTTACTATTTTACTAGTTCAAAAAGTACGTTGACAAAACTTCAGAAAGGTTATTTTTTGTTCGTAACGAAAATTTATTTAATTTTAAAGATTTAGAAATACATCAATTCTATTTTAGTGTAAGAAGTGTTTTACATTTCTTAAAAACTATAAAACTATCATATAAATTTTCAGAATCAAGTTTTTGACTCACAGTAACCTTAAAGCGGCATAATTATAAGAAGTTATAACTCACTTTAATTAATTGTGTTAGATGGTTGGAGCCGTATGAAATGGAAACTTTCACGTACGGTTCTAAAGGGGGGAAAGCTTGCGAGGGCCTACCTATCCAACTCACAGGTTTCTGCTAATTCGTAAGAAGATGTATTGAAACTGACGCCTGCCCAGTGCTGCAAGACTAAAGGAAAAGGTTTTTTGGCTTTAACCCTAACTCCCAGTAAACGGCGGCTGTAACTCTGACGGTCCTAAGGTAGCGAAATTCCTTGGCATTTAATTGGTGTCCTGCATGAATGGCGTAACGACTGTCCCACTGTCTCCAACATAAGCTCAGTGAAATTGAATTCTCCGTGAAGATGCGGAGTTCTTGCGGCTAGACGGAAAGACCCCGTGCACCTTTACGTGCGACTCGTTTTATCGAGAAGATAGGTACTATTTGGCCGATCGATCAATAACACTATGCCTTTGGCTAGTGAACTATACAATACATGAAGGTGAAAGTCCTTCTCCTTTGAAAACTAGGTAAAAGCGTACGCCACATGCGTTGAGTTTGGCAACTCAGGGTATGAAGCTGGCGTAAACGGGAAGAAGTGTTTTAGAGGGTAAAAACATGACGCATTTCTAGCAAGAGTGACTGGTGGATAGCGTTAGCAAACTGAATGTCTGAAGCACCAATAGCACAAATTGGGGGAGTAATACTCTCTGCTTATTTGAGGATCCCCAGGCCCTGAATATTGGGTAGAGATCAAGACTTGAGTTTGTGAAGGCTCAAGTTCGTTTTCTGTAGCGTCTCTGGTGTAAAGTTCAGATCCTCTCAGCTCAAAACAATGTATGTATGGAACGAGGAAACCTCTAAGATTTCACTTTATTTTATAAAGAGCAGGTAGCCAACCGTATAGTCTTAAAGAGTAAGATTGGGTAAAAAGCGAATGGTTGTTTGTAATGAACAATATAAGCCCACGTACCCACTTTCCTATTTGTAAATTCTTTCTGTATTTATATACGTTCAAATTAATTTATGATTAAAGTTAATGAAATGAAAATCAGAAATAAAGTTGATTAAACTCCCTCCATCAACTGGAGAAAAATTTAACGAAGAATTTGAAGAATACAAAAAAAGATTTACGAGTGTTCAAGACGATATAAGAAGTCTAACATCTGTGGTTTAAAATTTTTATCTGGTGATTTAATTGAAATCTACAATATAGTGCTAAAGGTTTCCGAAAGTGCGGATCACTACTGGAACTTTCAAGCTTTTCATAATCATTGCCATGATTAAAAGTTTTAGGAAAGAGGAGCCGTGTGAAGGGAAACCTTCACGCACGGTTTTGAATCAGGGGTGAGTTGAGAGATCACTTGCCTACTGTAATTGCATTTATATATTGTAATAAATTTTTTTTTGTGTAGAATAAGTGGGAAGTTTTTTTGTATCTCTTTGCGTAAGCGAATAAGAAAGACGTTAGTGAAATACCACTCTAAAAATTTTTTATTACTTATTAATTAAGACAGTGTATAATGGGTAGTTTGACTGGGGCGGTCGCCTCCTAAAGAGTAACGGAGGCGTGCGACGGTAAATTTGGGTTGAACTACAACAACTCTAAAGCATAATAGTACATATTTGCCTGACTGTAAGATTGACAAATCAAGCAGGGACGAAAGTCGGTTATAGTGATCCGATGATTCTGAGTGGAAATGGTCATCGCTCAACGAATAAAAGGTACGCCGGGGATAACAGGCTAATCACCCTCTAGAGACCATATCGACGGGGTGGTTTGGCACCTCGATGTTGGGTGCGACTCGTTAGCGTAAAGACGGAGATAGATGCCGTCGTGCAGCTGCAGTGTTAGCATCCGTGTTAACTATACTGATAACTAATCTTTCAGATGGGTAACCACTCCCATATATCTAGCCTCCATCAGATATTAATCATAGTCGTCCACGAGTCATCACGTGGATTTCCCTACGTATTTTACATGCTGAAATCATGCAAACGCGGAAGCAGGGCTAAAAGTTTATAGTTAGACACGCACTGTCGAAGCTATTTATTAGAACGCCATAGATGAGTCTAGCGAAAGCGAACCTATGTAGTAAAGTGCCGTCACGAGGAACTTTGGGTAATAGTGCGACGCCATGAGGCGCCCAGGGCCCTAAATAGAGGGATAGATCACATTTCAGGCCAGAAAGTACAACAAGGAAGGTCAGGAGGCTGAAGATCTCGGTGCATAGTAGGAGAGACATTTATGTTTATGAAAGATTGGAACGAAGTAACCACGTGATACGCTCCGGGTTTTACCCGGTGGGATTTCACTATAAGCTATCACGTGTTAAGATCTTGTAAGAAGCTAATGGCATTGGTAATTCTATGCATATGCTGACGTACAAAGCTGAGCAAGGCTACAGTTAACTGCGGGAGCCCTTGATCCTCAACGTTGTTGAATTTGATGGTTGCGAATAAATGGAAAAATATAGATTGGAAATCAGTCCATATTAAGGTTTACGACCTTCAGTATAAAATTTTCTGTAGCGCCAAAAAAGGTAATATTAATTTAGTCCGATATTATCAGCGAATACTTGTTAAATCTCAACACGCTAAGTTTTTAGCTGTTAGATCGGTAACCCAAGATAATAGAGGAAAAACAACGGCTGGTATAGATGGAGTTTTTAAGTTGACGCCTAAGCAACGTCTTCAACTTACCAAGAGATTAGTAATGGATGGTAAGGCTTCAAAAATCAAAAGGGTTTTTATACCTAAAGCTGGAGGAAAACTTCGGCCTTTAGGTATACCCACGATAGAAGATCGAGCCAAACAGATGCTAATTAAACTAGTGCTAGAACCTGAATGGGAAGCTAGATTTGAAATAAATTCTTATGGTTTTCGCCCAGGTTATAGCGCTGCTGATGCTAAATGGTGTATAGCTAGGCAACTTTAAGGGGGTCCAAAATTCTTTTTGGATGCTGATATAGAGAAGTGTTTTGATCAGATTGACCATGAATTTCTTCTGAGTCAACTAAATACGACTAGAACATTTCACAACCAAATTAAGTCTTGGCTTAAAGCGGGTATAATGCATACCACCTTGGAAGAATCTAGTGAAATTAACGAAGCGGGTACTCCACAAGGGGGTGTTTTATCCCCTTTACTCATGAATATCGCTCTTCATGGGATGGAAACCACTGTTGAAAGCGAGTTTGGAAAGAATAAAATTAAACTTGTTCGATATGCTGATGATTTTGTTGTTTTCGCTAAAACACTGGATGATACATTAAAGGTTAAAGAGATTATTATTAATTTTCTGAAACCGAGAGGTCTTAATCTTTCTGAAGAAAAGACTCGTATAGGTCATTCGATGGAAAACAAACCAGGAACCTCTGGCCCTGTAGGTTTAGATTTTCTTGGGTATCATTTTTGTACAAAATCTTGCTCAATACATCGTGGAGTGAAAAATACTCGAGGTGTTCCTCAAATATTTAAGCTTCTTACTCATCCTTCACGGGATGCAGTGAAAAGACATAAACAAAATCTTAAGAAGATCTTAATTGATTTTAAAGGAGCTCCTTTAGGACGAGTTGTTGAACGCTTGTCTAGTACGATAAAAGGATGGACTTGGTATCATTCAGTCACACAATCTACGAGAACTTTCTCTCGATTAGACGAGTGGTTTTGGAAAGTGCTTTGGCGGTGGGCAAAGAAGCGTTATCGTAGCGCTAATAATGCCAAGCAGAAATGCTTTAGTGTTAGAGGTTGGAATTTTGGATACATTAACGAAAAAGGAAAAGCCATAATACTAGATCGACATGATAAAACTAGAGTCCGTAAGTTTGTGAAAGTAAAACCTGGTGCTTCTCTTTATGATAGTAATGTTCCATATTTTGCAGAGAGACTATCATATCAACATCCTCGTACAAAGAATTTAAGGTCTTTGTTGAAAAAACAAAACTTTTCTTGTGCTCAATGTGATCTTGTTTTTACACCAATGGATATTATCGAGTTACATCATGTATTTGATAAAAATGGTAAAAGAACAAGCAAAATTGAATTTATACACGGATTTTGTCATGATCAAATTCATTCTACTAAATATTAACTTTGGAGGTTAGGAGAACTTCTTGCCAGTAGGAGCCGTATGAGTGGAGACGCTCACGTACGGTTTTGGATTAGCGGGTACTGAATGGTAACATTCGCCCGACTATACTATTATCGCATCCTGGAGCTGTAGGTGGTTCCAAGGGTTTGGCTGTTCGCCAATGAAGGCGGTACATGATCTGAGTTTAGAACGTTGTGAAACAGTTTGGTCCCTATCTACCGCAAGTGTAAAAAATTGAGAGGAGTAAACCTTAGTACGAGAGGACCGGGAAAAGTAAATCCATGGTGAATCGATTGTTATACCAATAGCATAGTCGAGTAGCTACATTTATAATAAATAATCACTGAAAGCATCTAAGTGAGAAATTAGCCTCAAAACAAATTTTTTAAAAATGTAAAAGAGTATTACGTAGATAGGCTTGGTGTGTAAGAATTGTAAGATTTTGAGCTAACAAGTACTAAATTAATTTTAATAAACTTTTTATATACTTGAACTAAATATTTATTTTTAGTTTAATTTTAGATTTTAATTCGAACTAATTATATAATTTTTTAACTTATAAATATATATAATTACAAACATATGAGTTTGATCCTGGCTCAGGATGAACGCTAGTAGTATGCTTAACACATGCAAGTCAAACGGAAGTTTTAGTTTTCGTGGCGTACGGGTGAGTACTCGTAGAATTTTCCCTTTCAGTTTAGGACAAAAACTTATTTATTAAGTTTAAATACTAAATAGTTATAAAGGTTAATTCCGCTGAAAGATAAATCTGCATAAGATTAGGTTGTTGGTGAATTAAAAGCTCACCAAGCCCATGATCTTTAGTTGGTCTTGGAGGATGATCAACCACACTGGAACTGAAATAAGGTCCAGGCTGACACGTCGGCCAGCAGTGAGGAATATTGGAGTGCGACCTGTTCAAGGGTGAAGAAATAAAGTACGAGCTCTTGGGTATTGACATTTTTGTTGTATTAACTTTAAAATCTTGGGAACCTTGCGTTCCCCCTTTCGTAGGTAAATTAAGGAAAAGCGTAACCTATATATGGAGAATTGTTATCAAAGTATAAAGCTGGGTTAAACGAGGTGAAAAACTGAAAGAGACTCAGTTTGACGAACTGCTAGCAAGTGTGTTAGGGTAAAGATATATCTATTTTTTACCATAGTTGACGTAAGGAAGTTGTATTAAAACGTCGTAATTCCTCAAGCAGGGGGAGAATGTCTCTTCCTTCAGGTTACTGAAGAAGTCCCTGCGATCGAAACATCGATAAAAGCAAGCGTATAAGGTCCCGCCATTAGACGCTTATTATCTACACGCAGCTTCGGCGTAGAGCAACCAACTACTAACATAAAAAGATTTTAAGGAACAGGGTAAGCCTTGATACTCTTCTTTTCATTGAAAAGATACGGTTACTAGCTTTATGGGTATTAAAGGTAGAGGATTTAGTAAAAAGCGAATGGTTATTTGTAATGAATAATATATGCCCACTTACTAACTAGTTTCAGATAAGTTATTTTTCTTTAATTAAAAGTTAAATCTAGTCAATTAAAGCAGCAAATGACTGGAAATTGATGTGAGACTAGAGGAGCTGTATGACAGGGGACTGTCACGTACAGTTTTGAAGCAGGAGTGTTAAAGAGGTTTAACATTTACTGTAACCAATGAACGAAAGTTTGATCCAGCAATACTAACTGGGTGATGACGGCTTATTTAAGTTGTAAGATCCTTTAATTAAAGAAGATAATGACATTATTTAATTGAATTTAGTCCTGGCTAATACTCGTGCCAGCAGCCGCGGTAATACGGGAAGGGCAAGCGTTATCCGGCATGACTGGGCGTAAAGAGTCCGTAGACGGTAAAGTAAGTTTTTTGTCAAAATTTAAGACCCAATCTTATAGTAGCAATTAACACTGCTTTACTTTGAGTTTAATGCAGAAAAGTAGAATTTTATACGACAGGGGTGAAATCCGTAGATATATAAAGGAATGTCAATAGCGAAGGCAACTTTTTAGCATAAACTGACGTTGAGGGACGAAAGCATGGGTAGCAAACAGGATTAGAGACCCTGGTAGTCCATGCCGTAAATTCTGAGTGCTGTAATTTAATTGTAATATATTTCAAATATTACTTAGATTTTCAAGCTAACGCAATAAGCACTCCGCCTGAGGAGTACGATCGCAAGATTGGAACTCAAAGGAATTGACGGGGGTCTAACACTAGTGGTGGAGCATGTGGTTTAATGCGATAATCCGCGCAAAATCTTACCAATTCTTGACATAGTTAAATCGTTATGCAAATTAATGTAGTTTTTTATGTATAACATTTTTTTACAGGTGTTGCACGACTGTCGTCAGCTCGTGTCGTGAGATGTTTGGTTAAGTCCTGAAACGGGCGCAACTCTTACTTTTAAAAAAGTTTTTACGTATTAAAAAGTTTTTTGTCAAAAACTTTTTAAATGCTTTAAAAGTACGGTCAACGATAAGTTGAAGGAAGGTAAGAATAAAGTCAAGTCAATGTGACCCTAATGAATTGGGCTACACATGTGCTACAATGAAAATTACAAAAAGTGACAAAAAAGAAATTTTGCGTTAATCCACAAAAATTTTCCCAGTTCGAATTGCAGACTGCAACTCGTCTGTATGAAGTTGGAATCACTAGTAATCGCAAATCAGCACGTTGCGGTGAACATGTAACTTGACCTTGTACACACCGCCCGTCACTTGCAAAGAGTTAGTTTTGCTTGAAGGTTTTAATCAAACCCATTGAGAGATTAACAATTTGGATGAAGTCGTAACAAGGTAGCTGTACGGGAACGTGTAGCTGGAACATAATGAAATAATTTGGCCGATTTTTATATTATTTCGGGTATTGAAATCGAAAGGTTCAACTCCTTTTTTCATTAATAAAACCTGAAAATAGTTTTCAAGAGTTTTGGTTCAAAACTTTTTAAATACTAAAAGAATTTGGGAATCATTTAAAAGTTTTTAACCGTGATGTCAGGGAAGTGCATTGGTTAGCATGTTAGGCTCATGCCCTAAAGTTTGTAGGTTCAAATCCTGCCTCTGATATAAAATGATTTTTTTAACATATTTAATGTGTGCATTATTACTTATTAGCGCTTCACTTGTTATCATTAGCAAGAATCCTTTTCATTCAGTCTTATTTTTAGTAGCAAGCTTTTTATCAGCTTCAATGCTACTTTTTTTATTTGAGAATGAATTTTTAGCGCTTTTTTTTTTAATTATTTATTTAGGTGCAATTGCTATTCTGTTTTTGTTTGTAGTTATGATGTTAGATATTAAATATAGGGAATTGCAAATGAGTCGGCTTTATTTTCCGGTAGGGGTTCTAATTGGTGCTACTGTGTTAATTGAAGTCTACGGTGCGTTTTTAAAAGTATTTTCTAAAAATACAAATCTTTGTTTTAAAGAGCACAATTCGTATATTAATTGGTACGATAATTTAGATGCATTGCCAGATGTATATGTTTTCGGCCAAATTTTTTACACTCAGTATGTACTACAAATTTTAATTGCTGGTTTAATATTGTATTTAGCGGTAATTGCTGTTGCATTTTTAACTGTTAAAACGTCATTTCATCGAGGAATGGTGAAAGAGCAGTCAGTTTCTCGTCAGTTATCTAGAAAAAACGTTTTGTAAACTCTTCTGATTTGACTGGCGGAATAGTTCAGTTGGTTAGAACGTTGGAATCATAATCCAACTGTCGGGGGTTCAAGTCCCTCTTTCGTCAAAAGCGATTAACTCAATTGGTAGAGTGTCTCGCTTACAACGAGAAAGTTAGTGGTTCGAATCCGCTATTGCTTATTAACAAAGTATTAAGAAATGGGAGCATTAACACTTAAGTCATTTTCAGACGAGCTTAGAGAATGGGAATTTATTGAAAGTGAAGGTATTGATCCTATGGACAGTTTCGGAGTCAATTTACGATTATCTATTAGAGAAAATCAGATTTTTTTAGCCGAACCTAATGATGTAACTATTCCTTGGTTGACTGACAAAGGTCGATTGTTTTTTGATGGAATGTTTGAAGAAACGTCATCATCTAAACAAACTGATTGGGAGAACTTTTTCAAAGAAGTTTCTGAATTGATGTATTTTGTGGATCATTTGAATTTTCAAAAACAAAACGGATTATCTTTAATTTTTGCATTTGAAAACATAAGTTTAGAAACTTTGAACATGTTGTATCTTTTAAAACAAAGCTGTTCTTTCATTGATTTAAGGAAAGTTGAAAATTATAAATCTTTAAATGATTTAGAATCTGCTTATCAGTTGTCACCGTTAACACAAAAGCCAAAAATTCAAATGTCAACTTTAGCTATTTTATTAAACACTAATCCTAGATATGAAGGATATGTGTTAAATTTGAATTTACGGCAACGTTTTCTTAAAGGCGATTTCAAACTATTTAATATTGGATCTATGTTAGACCTAACTTTTCCTGCACACAATTTAGGTTCAAATTTTCAAATTGTAAAATCATTAGCAGAAGGTACTCATTTAGTTTGTCAGGATATTACAAACGCAGAATTTCCTTTAATCATTACTAATACTGAACTTTTTAAACGAAGTGACTCAAAACTTTTTGTTCATATTTTTAAATATGCTGGTTTATTACAAATCGCTTGGAACGGGTTAAATATATTAAATCATAACATAAGTAACGTGGGAATTCAGTCTTTAAATAAATTTTTACCTCTTTCATCGGAGGATTTTGTTAATTTTTTTGGGTTGTATTATATTAACGTTTCATTAAGTGCAACAGCTAACATGAAAAAATTAACAGATCTACATCTATTAAACATGTTCAACTTAAGAAGCAGTTCATTCAAAAACCAAATTTTCGTGGATCAGAATGTAAGATCTTTGAATAAGGTTGTTTACGACAAGTTAAAAAAAAAAATGTTCAAAGACTATTTTTATTTACCAAATAATTTGTTTTTAGAAGAGAGTGAAACGTATATTAATACTCAGGGATTAATTAAAAGAACAACTAAATTATTGCATTTTAAAAAAGATGCGAAAACTAATTGGCAAATTACAAGACGAATGTATGCCAACAGTAAATCTTTAATGTTTTTTAGTAATAAAAAAGATAATCAACTTTTAAATTTTGATTCGATAAACTCATTTAATTTTAAAAATTATGTAAGTTTTCAATTTTATGCTGGGCAAACTTTAACAAGCTTAAGTTTTTATTTAAACAAACAAAATTCGCCAATCGCTAAATCTTGGACTTCGCCTTTGAAATCATCTAAAATTAAAGTTTATGACACAAAAGTGAAAAACTGGCTGGATGATTTTTTTAATAACAATGGTAAAGATTCATTTAGTTATAATTCGTCAGTTTTAATAAATTGTTATAAAATACTAAGATCTAGTACTACTAATTTTTTTTAATTTTATTTTTCATTAGATGGATATTAATTTTTTTGTTAAAAACTTCGCAGATTCTAACAGTTATTTTGAACAATTTAATTTATTAAAAAGTTCTGCAATGAAAGAAGAATATTTAGGAATTTTTATATATTTGTGCTTTGCAATTTTTCTTGCTTTACTAATCGTTATTTTATCATATTTTTTAGTAAGTCAAAGTCCTGAAACAGAAAAACTCTCTACGTACGAATGTGGATTTGATCCGTATGGTGATACTCGAAATCAGTTTAATATTCGGTTTTATATTATAGCAATTTTATTTATTTTATTTGATATTGAAATTATTTTTTTGCTGCCGTGGTGTGTTTCGATTTCGCAGTTAGATCTACTAGGTTTTTGGTCTATGGTTGAATTTTTGGTAGAACTTGGTATTGGTTATGTATACGCTTGGCGCGTTGGTGCTATTGAATGGAGTTAGTAGGACCTTTATTATGAGTAATATAAAGAATAAATTTGATTTTAAATATTTACATACAACTCATCAGTTTCATCTAGTAGATCCTAGCCCTTGGCCTATCTTAGCATCTATAGGAGGTTTTTGTTTAACAAGCGGTGGTGTTTTATATATGCAAAAAATGTTAGGTGGTTGGGGCCTTTTTTTAAACGGTTTATTTTTGGTACTTTTAGTTATGTTTGTTTGGTGGCGAGATGTTGTTAGAGAAGCTACTTACGAAGAGCACCATACTGTTGCAGTCCAAAGAGGTTTAAGACTTGGTATGGTTCTGTTTATTGCTTCAGAAATTATGTTTTTTTTTGCGTTTTTTTGGGCGTTCTTTCACTCAAGTTTAGCACCAGTATTTAATATTGGTGGAGTATGGCCTCCTAAAGCAATTATTGCAGTTGATACTTACACAGTTCCGTTAACTAATACTTTTATTTTGTTAAGCTCTGGGGCTACTGTAACGTGGGCTCATCATGCTATTATTTTAGGTGCCAAACGACATGTTATAATTGCATTATTATATACTCTTACTTTGGCTGTCTTATTTACTTATTTTCAAGGCTTAGAATATGTTTCCGCACCTTTTAACATTAGTGATGGAATTTACGGATCGTGTTTTTATATGGCAACAGGATTTCATGGTTTTCACGTTTTTGCGGGTACTATCGCGTTGTTAGTGTCATTTATTCGAATTGTCTTAAGTCAGCAAACTACTACTCATCATTTTGGATTTGAATCAGCAATTTGGTATTGGCACTTTGTGGATGTTGTATGGTTATTTTTGTTTATTAACATCTATTGGTGGGGAAATCTTGAGCCGCACTTATCTGCAACTGTTTTAATGTAATATTTTTAATTATAAATGGTGACTAACTTTTTAAACAAAAATGACCTAGGTCTAAATGAAATTGTCAAACAAACTGCATTGGCAACACGAACTCGAGCTAGAAATGTATCTTTAAATAAATTTCGATGGAATAAAAATTATCTTTTAGGTTTTGTCGACTGCCACTTAGTTCATTACCCAACACCGATTGGTTTAACTTACGCCTGGAGTTTTGGTTCTTTGGCTGGTATGTGCCTAGTTATTCAAATTTTATCAGGTATTTTATTATCAACACATTATACTGCTAATATAGATCTGGCTTTTTCAAGTGTAGAGTATATTATGCGAGATGTTCCAAACGGTTGGTTTATTCGCTATGTTCATGCGAACGGTGCATCAATGTTTTTTATTATAGTGTATTCTCACATTTTTCGAGGATTATACTATGGATCGTACATGAAACCCAGACAGTTACTTTGGTGCTCTGGAGTAATTTTATTTTTATTAATTATGGGAACTGCTTTTACAGGTTATGTCTTACCTTGGGGGCAAATGAGTTTTTGGGGAGCAACTGTAATTACTAACATGGTTACTGCTATCCCGTTCGGCGGTCAAACTATTGTAGAATGGTTATGGGGAGGTTTTACTGTAAACGCTCCAACATTGCGCCGGTTTTATAGCGTTCATTTTTTGTTACCATTTTTAATCGCAGGTTTAACTATTATCCATTTAGCGTTACTGCATAAAGATGGTTCTACAAGTCCTATCGGTTCTGATACTGGTGTGGATGATGTGCCATTTTATCCGTATTATTTTGCTAAAGATTTATTTGCGTTTACATGCTTTGTATTATTCTTTGGCGTATTTGTATTTTTTTTCCCGAATTTGTTAAATCATCCTGATAACTGTATTCCAGCTGATCCTATGGAAACCCCAAAACATCTAGTTCCAGAATGGTACTTTTTGCCTTTTTACGCAATTCTACGATCTATTCCTCATAAAGCTGCGGGTATTGTTGCTATGGTAGGAGCTATTCTAGTTATGCTTTTAATTCCATTTACTTATACGGGTTATATTAGAAATACAACTTATCGACCTTTATTTAAAGTATTTTATTGGTTATTAATTGCTGACTTTATTACATTAATGGTAGTTGGACAAGCGCCAATTACAGATCCGTTTATTGCATTAGGCCAAATAGCGTCAGTTTACTATTTTTCGTTTTTTATCATTTTAGTTCCTTTAATTGGAGTGATTGAAACAAAATTAGTAAATTACAAAGTTAACTAGAATTTCTGACTTTACAGTTAAGAAAGTGATAAATAATTATCTATGGTTTTAACTATTGGGTTCGAGTCCCAGTCTTAACGAATTATGATGAATCAAGAATTATTTCAAATATATCATTTAAAAGAAATGTCTCTTTCGGCGGAGCTTTTTTTAAGTTGTTCTATTCTTCAATTTACTTTTTACGCAGTTAGTACAGCTTACCAACGTAGAGCCGGTTTTATTATATTAAATCAACAAGTTTATTACATAGGTTCTTTGTTTGTTATTTTGTCATTATTTCTTTTGTTAAATGAAGATTTACTAATAATGAACTCATTTAATAGTAATAATTTTATCATTAATGACTATTTAAGTTTTGCTACAAAATTATTGATCTGTATTACATCAGTAGCATTCTTGACAATTATTAATATTTCTTTCAGAGACGAGCCTATTCAAAATAATTTTGAATATGTTGTGTTGATTACTATTTCAGTTTTAGGTCTATTATTACTGTGTTCAGCAAATGATTTGATTACTGCTTACCTTGCAATTGAGTTGCATAGTATAGCTTTTTATATTATGTCTGCCTTCAAACGCAATTCAAGTTATTCGATAGAAAGTGGTTTAAAATATTTTATTATTGGTGCTCTATCATCAGCCTTTTTTTTATTTGGATCTTCTATAGTTTATGGATGTATGGGTAGTTTAATTTTTGACGATCTTAGGATGTTTTTTTCTTTACTATCATTACCAACTCAAAATAATTTAAATTTAGGAAGCGCAATTATTTTTGATCCATCAATCCTATCTTGCAGTGCTTATTTAGGAGAAAATTTTCAAACTAATCTGCCACAACCTTATTCAACGACCCCAGATAATTTGCTTGATTGGTGTTTTTTTAATTATGAAGTCAGTGTTCTTTCTCAAAGTTTTCCAAGTAGTTTTTTACAAGCAAGTTGCAATGAAGATTTTTTGGTCTATCCTATTTTTAGTTATTTTTTTATTGATTTTTTGACCAGTATTTTTATCTTGGATTGGATTATTAATCAAGAATTCGTAAATGGATTATTTTTAATATATTACGATGTTAGCTTTATAAAGTCGTTTTCAGCTTTTGAGTTCTTCCCAAGTTTATCTAATATCGCTAAAACAAGCATTGAGAGTAGCTTGTCAATTTTCTATCAAATTTCAGAACTATACCAAGTTTTTAATGCGCCAATTTTGACACCAATAGATTGTTCTATGGTTAATTTGGATTTAGTTTCAATAGGTTTTTTTTTAATCTGTGTAAGTTTATTCATTAAACTATCAATAGCGCCATTTCACTTTTGGTCGTTAGATGTTTATGAAGGCTCACCAAGCACCACAACTTTCTTCTTTGCGGTTATTCCAAAAATAAGTTTGTTTGTTTTATTAATGCGGCTTTGTTATGTAAGTTTTTATGAAATTTTCGTAAATGATTTTCAAATTTATTTTTTCGCTTTAGCTGTATTAAGTATTTTTGTGGGTGCATTAGGTGGACTGGAGCAGCGAAAATTAAAAACTTTGCTTGCATATAGTTCTATAAGTCATACAGGTTATTTATTACTGTCTTTTAGTACTGGAAATGTTGAAGGGATTTTAATGATGTTTTACTATTTAGCGATTTACATGATTTCGGGACTAAGTTTCTGGGCTGTTTATTTGTTTTTAATTCAAAAAAGAGATATTTATTATAATAAAAATAACAAAGAATTAGGAGATTTAGTTTTACTAAAAGAATCGAATCCAATGCTGGCATTTATTTTAGCGATGACTTTATTCTCACTTGCAGGGATTCCACCTCTTGTTGGATTTTTAATTAAAATAGGTGTTTTCTCCGTTGCCATTAAATCTTCGGCTTACTTAGTTTCAGTTATAAGTATTGTTTTAAGCGTTATTTCAACGTTTTATTATATTCGACTAATTAAAATTTTATACTTTGAAAATACTTTAGTCGGAAAATTGTATGTTCCTATAAGAACTCAAAAAGCTCTTTTAATTTCAGTATTAGCTTTGTCATTAATCGTTCTGTGTTTTGATCCAATGGTTATTTATCTTTTATTTTATAAAGCAATATTTATAGCAAATTAGGCTTTGCAGAAGAATGGCTGAGGGGTTTAAAGCGAAGATCTGCTAAATCTTTATATAGAATATGAACTATATCGTGGGTTCAAATCCCACTTCTTCTGATTCGGTTTAAAAATAATAATGTTTTTGTATTTAAGAATTTCTTGTAAAGACAAGAGAGTACTAAAAAAATTTTTACGGTTTTTCATAAAAAAAAAGTCTTTGCCCATTTTTTTGAAGTCGTTTTCAAAACATGAAATGCGAAAAGTTGTCACTGTTTTAAAGTCTCCACATGTGAATAAAACTGCTCAAGAACAATTTGAGTACCGGGTATATTCTAAGTCTTTTTTGATTTATTCGTGCAGTAGTCCTTTTCTATTTTCTTTAGTGTTAAAAAGATTAAGAAATGTAGGTTTTCCTGGACTGGATTTTAAAATAAAAGGAGTTTTGAGTGAAAATAAAATCCATAAGTATATATTGCGAACGGTAAGCCCTGACAATATAACTGTGAAAACGCTGAATTCTGATTGGCTGTTTATACAGAAAAAAAAACTTAAAAAAGTTCAATATAAAAAAAATTATAATTTTAAACGTTCATTCTCTAAAAAATACCTCCAGTTCTTTGATTTACACGGAGAAATTTGCTTGCAAAAAATTTTTAAGGATATTTATTTGTCACTCTGCATCTTTAGCTCAGTTGGATAGAGCAACAGCCTTCTAAGCTGATGGCCAGGGGTTCAATTCCCTTAAGATGTTAATTTTATAAATAAAAAGGTTAAACTTTTTTAAACAAATGTATATTCCGTTAGTTTTTTTATCATTAATTGGTTTTATTATTACTGGATTATTCGGTAGATATATAGGTCCTAAAGGTGCAGCAATTCTTACTACTAGCTGCTTGATTATTTCGTTTTTTTTATCGCTCTTTGCATTTTATGAAGTTGGTTTAATGGGTAGCCCTGTGTATATTCGCCTAGCTACTTGGGTCAGTTCTGAAGTCTTATTAATAAATTGGGGATTTTTATTTGATAGTCTAACCGTTGTAATGTGCATTGTTGTTACATTTGTATCCTCTTTGGTGCATTTGTACTCAATTGAATATATGTCTCATGATCCACATTTACCGAGATTTATGTCATATTTATCGTTGTTTACTTTTTTCATGTTGATTTTAGTAACTGCTGATAATTTTATTCAAATGTTCTTAGGTTGGGAAGGCGTTGGTTTAGCATCCTATTTATTAATTAATTTTTGGTTTACTCGAGTTCAAGCTAATAAAGCAGCTATAAAAGCTATGATAATCAATCGAATTGGCGACTTTTGTTTAATTATTGCTATATTAACTATGTTTGTTAACTTTAAGTCTGTTGATTATGCTACAGTTGCTGCACTAGCTCCATTCTTTAAGATGCAAACAGTTAATTTTTTAAATATGGATTTTAATATTTTGTCTCTTATATGTATTTTTTTATTTTTTGGTGCAGTAGGTAAATCAGCTCAATTGGGTTTACATACTTGGTTGCCAGATGCAATGGAGGGTCCCACTCCGGTTTCGGCACTAATTCATGCTGCAACAATGGTTACAGCGGGTGTATTTCTAATTGCTAGATGTTCTTTCCTTTTTGAATACGCTCCAAATAGCTTACAGGTAGTCGCTGTACTTGGTGCATCCACTGCTTTTTTTGCTTCTAGTGTTGGGTTATTGCAAAATGATTTAAAGCGAGTTATCGCTTATTCTACTTGTAGTCAGTTAGGGTACATGGTTTTCTCATGTGGACTTTCTGATTATGCTGTGGGTGTGTTTCATTTAGCAAACCATGCTTTTTTTAAAGCTCTTCTTTTTTTAGGTGCAGGAGCTATAATCCACGCAGTGAATGATGAGCAAGATATGCGAAAAATGGGTGGACTAAAAAATTTAGTACCGTTTACATATTCAGTAATGACTATAGGTTCTTTAGCTTTAATAGGTTTTCCGTTTTTGGCTGGTTTTTACTCAAAAGATCTGATTTTAGAATTAGCTTATGGACGGTTTTCATCATTTGGTCATTTTAGTTACTATTTAGGAACATTTGGTGCATTCTTAACTGCCTTTTATTCAACAAGACTTGTATGTTTAACTTTTTTAGTTAAACCAAATGGTTATAAGTCAGTAATTGGTTTTGCACATGAAACATTTAGTTATATTTTTATCGCTTTATGTTTGCTGGCCATCCCAAGTATTTTCGTGGGATTTTATACAAAAGATATGATTGTAGGTGTTGGTAGTGACTTTTTTGGTTCAGCTATTTATAATAATCCTAAGACACTTCACGTTTTTGATGCGGAGTTTGTCGAATTTTTGTTTAAAATCTTGCCGGTTACACTAAGTTTGTGTGGAGCAGGATTATCATTTTTTTTGTATAACTTTCAAAGTTCAATTTTATTTTATTTTAAAACTTCTTTTATAGGTCGAAAAATTTACAGTTTTTTAAATAAAAAATGGTTTTTTGATAAAATTTACAACGAGTTGTTTGGTCAATTTTTTTTCAAATTTGGGTACACAATGAGTTACAAAGCGATTGATAGAGGTACTTTTGAAATAATAGGTCCTACTGGCCTATCTTCTGTAGCATTAAATGTTGCGCACAAACTTCATAAGGTTCAAACAGGTTCACTTTATCATTATACACTTACGATATTAACAACAGTTGCTATCATTTTATCATTACGACAATGCTGGTTGATTTTTGAATATAATGTAGACTATCGAGGGTTAATATTAATTTTTATTTCATTTTTTTTTATTTTAAATTCTAAAAACTAATTTGATTAAATTTTATTATAAATGAGAATAGAAAAAATCTTCTTCCTTTGCGATGCTCCTGAATTCGCTCAATTAAGACTACAAGATCCATCTACAACTACTATGGAAGGATTAATAGCATTTAACAAGCATTTATTATTTGTTATGACTATTATTGTGGTGTTAGTAGGTTGGTTGTTATTTGCAACAATTTCTAATTACGATGAATTTAATACACAAAAAAGCCAAAGCTTTTTTCATTCAAACGCTTTAGAGATTGTTTGGACCTCTTTGCCTGCTTTAACATTACTAAATTTAGCTTCACCATCTTTTACGCTATTATACTCAATGGATGAAATTTCAACACCTGAAATTTCTGTTAAGATTATAGGTCATCAATGGTACTGGAGCTATGAAATATCAGATTTTGATACGATGGCAACTTGTATGGATTCTGACAAAACTTTAAAATATACTTGTTATTTATTAACCGAAGAAAGTATTTCTCAAAAAAACTACTTAGGATTTTTCAGATTGTTAGAAACAAACAAACGTGTACTGTTACCGTCGAATACCCATTTGCGATTATTAGTAACTTCAGTAGATGTATTACATAGTTGGGCTATTCCATCTTTTGGTGTTAAAGTCGATGCTTGTCCAGGTCGATTAAATCAAGTAAATGTTTTTTTAAAGCGAATTGGAATGTTCTTTGGTCAATGTAGTGAAATTTGTGGTGTAAATCATGGATTTATGCCTATTGCTCTTTTAGTGGTTCCTTCAATTCAATATCATTATTTTGTTGTTTCTAAATTATTTTAATTTATAAATAAAAAGCCTATAACTCAGTTGGTTAGAGTGTACGCCTGATAAGCGTAAAGTCAGTAGTTCAAATCTACTTAGGCTTATAAATATATTTGTTATGGCTTTAAAAAAAAAACTAGTAAAAGAAATCAAAAACTTTACTGTAAATTTCGGACCTCAGCATCCAGCAGCACATGGTGTGCTACGACTTGTATTAGAGTTGACCGGAGAAGTAGTAGAACGAGCAGAACCACATATTGGCCTTCTTCATCGAGGTACTGAAAAACTAATTGAATATAAAAATTATTTACAAGCCCTACCTTATTTCGATCGATTAGATTATGTATCAATGTTATGTCAAGAGCATACTTATTGTTTAGCAATTGAAAAACTAGTGCATTGTAAGGTACCGAAACGGGCTCAATATATAAGAGTTTTATTTGCAGAAATTACACGTATTTTAAACCATCTTTTAGCAGTAGGTTGTCATGCTATGGATGTAGGTGCTATGACTCCTATGTTATGGGGGTTTGAAGAAAGGGAAAAGTTGATGGAGTTTTATGAAAGAGTCTCAGGAGCTCGAATGCATGCTGCATATTATAGACCAGGGGGAGTTCATACTGATTTGCCCAAAGGTTTGTTAACTGATATTTTTATTTTTAAGGAACAATTCAAGCTTCGATTGCTTGAAATAGAAGAAATGTTAACTGAAAACAGAATTTGGAAGCAGCGCTTAGTCGATATTGGAGTTGTTTCATTAGAACAAGCTCAGGATTGGGGGTTTAGCGGTGTAATGTTACGGGGATCTGGTTTGGAATGGGATTTAAGAAAAAGTCAACCTTATGAAGTTTACGCTGAATTAGATTTTGATATTTTGGCAGGCACTAATGGTGATTGTTATGATAGATATCTTATTCGTATTTTTGAAATGAAACAATCTATTCGAATTATTGAACAGTGTTTGGATAATATTCCATTTGGACCAATTAAAACGTCAGATAATAAAATGACTCCCCCATCAAGATTTGATATTAAACAATCGATGGAAGCTTTAATTCATCACTTTAAGTTTTATACTAGTGGTATTACAATTCCAGCAAATGAAACATACACCGGGACAGAGGCTCCTAAGGGTGAATTTGGAGTTTATTTAATTTCTAATGACTCCAATAAACCTTACAGATGTAAAATTAAAGCACCAGGATTTGCACATTTACAAGGTTTAGATATGATGTCTAAGGGTCATATGATTGCTGATGTTGTGACTATTATTGGAACTCAAGATATTGTATTTGGTGAGGTTGATCGATAAAAATTAAAAAAATGAAAATTTTTAAAATTATTACAGTTTCTTCTGATGGAAGTGCTTTTTTTTCTTGGACAGGAGAAACTTCGTTAACAAATAAATTAGTCATTTTTCAAAAACAAGATAATAGAAATTGTAATTTTAATCAGAAAAAAGGTCAAGTTCTAATCGATTCGAAACAATCAGTTCATTATAAAAAAAAATATTTAAAGTAAAAAGTTTTATTGGAGTATAGCCAAGTGGCAAGGCGATCGTTTTTGGTACGAGCATTCAAAGGTTCGAATCCTTTTATTCCAATTTAGGATAAAAATATTGCTTATTTTTAAATTTGGTTTATTTCATAGCTAAAAATAACATAATATTGTTAACTTTCTAAATTTTATTTGTAGAGTTCAAATCCTTTATAAAACATATGAATTTAACTTCTTTATTTTATTTTCAAGACATTTTATTTTATACATCTTTTATTCCGTTAATAGGAATTTTATTATTAGTTTATGTTAACCCTGAACAGCAAAAGCTTCTAAAAGTAATTGCGTTAAATTTTTCAGCTTTTCCGTTTTTTATTTTTTTATTGATTTGGGGAGGATTTAAAAAATCAGTGGGAACTTTTCAATTTGTTACTAAAATTTTATGGATTCCAGTTATTAACTTGAATGTAACTTTAGGTATAGATGGAATTTCACTTTTTTTTATTTTATTAACTACTTTATTAATTCCATTATGTATTTTAATTAGTTGGAATAGTATTTATTCAAATTTAAAAGGTTATTTAATCGCTTTTTTAATTATAGAATTTTTTTTAATTGGTGTGTTTTGTGTTTTGGATGTTTTAATGTTTTACATTTTTTTTGAGAGCATTTTAATCCCAATGTTTTTAGTAATTGGGATTTGGGGATCCAGAGAACGAAAAATTTTGGCATCTTATTACTTTTTTTTATATACTTTACTAGGTTCTGTGGTAATGTTACTCTCTATTTTATATATTTATAACCAAGTTGGAACTACTGATTATGAAGTTTTACTTACCTTTGTATTTTCAGATCTGGAACAAAAGCTTTTATGGTTCACTTTTTTTTTAGCTTTTGCTGCTAAAGTTCCAATGGTTCCAGTGCATTTATGGCTTCCAGAAGCTCACGTAGAAGCACCTACTGCGGGTTCTGTAATTCTTGCTGGTGTGCTTTTAAAGCTAGGAACTTATGGCTTTATTCGATTTTCTTTACCATTATTTCCACAAGCATCTTTTTATTTTGCACCCTTTGTTTATACTATTTCGCTAATGGGTATTGTTTACACGTCTCTGACAGCAATTAGGCAAACAGATTTCAAGCGAATCATTGCTTACACATCAGTTGCTCATATGAATGTTGTTATGTTAGGAATTTTCAGTTTTAATAACGTTGGTATTGAAGGTGCATTGTTGCAAAGTTTAAGTCATGGTTTCGTTGCCAGCGCTTTGTTTGTAATTATTGGAGTTGTATATGAACGCTATAAAACTAGACTTGTAAAATATTATGGAGGTCTTGTGCACACAATGCCATTGTATATTTCAATATTTTTGTTTTTTACTATGGCTAATATTGGTTTCCCTGGAACAAGTGGTTTTATTGGTGAATTTCTCATTTTTGCAGGTTCATTTAAAGTTAATTCCAGTATAACTTTTTTTGGCGCTACTGGAATGATTTTAGGTGGCTGCTATGCATTATGGTTGTTTAATAGAATTGCTTATGGTAATTTAAAAAGCCAGTATATCAAGCAAGCATTAGACATCAATAAACGTGAGCTTTTTATTTTTCTTCCTTTAATTTGTTATACATTAATTTTTGGTTTAATTCCTGATGCTTATTTAAGTTCAATTCATATGAGCGTAAATAATCTTATCGAAAATATGTATTTTTAATAATAAATGCTTTATTTCTTAGAAACAAAATTATCTGATCACAAATCTGTGTGTTTTGCTTTGGCTAATATTTACGGTATTGGTAACAGCACGGCTTTTCTTATATGTAAAAAATTAGGCTTTTCTATAAATTTAAAAGTAAAAGATTTAACCCAAGAACAAGTTACTGAAATGATTCAACTTATTGAGTCATTAAATATAAACTTAAATAATGAATTGAAGAAGTTACAATCGTTAACTTTAAAAAATCTGGTGTCTATCAAGTCTTACAAAAGTTTACGACGAGTATTAGGATTACCTGTTAGGGGTCAACGTACTCATACAAATGCAAAATCTGCAAGAAAACATAAACGTTTTTAAAAATTTATATGAATAATTTATTTATTGCTGAAAATCTTAAGATTATAACTAAAATTTTACCTATCTTAAAAATTCAAATACATCAAAATGAGATTAGTTTTATTATAAAAAGAAATCATTTAATACCAGTGTTACTTTTTTTTAAAAATCATATAAAATATCAATTTAAAATTTTGACGTGCATTTCTGGTGTTGATTACCCATCTCATAAATATCGTTTTAAAATTGTGTATGAATTATTAAGTGCCAGATTCAATATCAGAATACGAGTAAAAGTGATGACAAACGAATTGATACCGATTGAATCTTGTTGTAATATTTTCCCTGCAGCTGGGTGGTATGAGTCTGAAACTTGGGATATGTACGGAATTTTTTTCACAAATCATGTAAATTTAACTCGGTTACTTACGGATTATGGATTTGAGGGTTATCCTTTAAGAAAAGACTTCCCACTAAGTGGGTTTGTGGAATCTAGTTACGACTACACTAGAAAAAGAGTGGCTAATGAACGAGTGGAACTAAGTCAAGAATATCGTGCGTTTAAATTTACATCTCCTTGGGAGACTTTAGAACTAAATTAAAAATTATGAAAAAGTTATTTGCAAAAGATCGCGAAAATCGTAAAACTTTAAAACAGTTAGAATTAGAACGTTTTATATTAAAGCAAATTTCAACAAATTCTAATTTTTTAAAAACTATTAGATGGAATGCTTTACACAAGCTTTCTCATATATCAAAAAAAAGTTCGAAAACACTACTTTCGAATAGATGTGTTCAAACTATAAATAAAAAAACATTTAATAAATTTACCAATTTTTCCAGAACAGTTTTTTTAAAACTTGCTAAATCTGGGTATATTAGTGGTATGCGAAAATCTAGTTGGTAATATCAGGTACCCGAACGACTAGTCGGAATTCGTTTAAATATCGCTTTATTTTTCACACGCGTGATTTCCTTTTTGCTTACAGATAATAAAAACTAAAACATATAAAAAAATGATCAATAAACTGATCCATTTTTCATATTTTATAGGCGTTAAGGATAAAAAATCATTGTAAACAAAAATGATATAACAAAAAATAGCACTTGGAAAAGCAAAGATGCAGAAAACGACTTTTGGTTGAATTTTTATGAAATAAATACAATTATAGAAACAAGTAAAAAACAACAGGCAACTGCCGTAGATAAAATACTGAATTTGGGTCATTTCTGGGTACGTACTTGCAAATAAAATAAAACTAAACCAACTTAATATTAAAGTTGTCATTATTAACTTAGTTTTAAATTACGGTATGATTTAACTGTAAAACTTCCCACAGGGCATAAGTCAATTACATTGCCAGACAACTCTGAAAGCAGAACTTTATTCACATAAGTACCGATTTCACTTGCATTTCCACGGCCAAAAACTCCAAGCTCTTCAACACCAGCAATTTCAGTACTAAACCTAACACACCGTGTACAATGAATACATCTCGTCATGACTGTTCGAACTATGGGTCCTAGATTTTTATCGGACACAATTCTTTTAAACTTGTAAAATCGTCTTTTTGTAAAGCCAAAAAATAAAGATTGGTCTTGAAGATCACACTCTCCACCTTGGTCACAAATAGGACAGTCTAAAGGATGATTTAAAAGTAAAAATTCCATTACATTTTCTCTAGCTTTTTTTACTAAGCCACTATTATGATAAATTTCGTGATTAAATAAGCTTGTTCCTGCGCTAACTGCACATGCAACAATAGGCTTATTCATTTTCCCCATTTCTACTATACACATTCTGCAGTTTCCTGCTATTGATAAGTTATTATGGTAACAGTAATGAGGAACAGAAATACCTAAGTTTATTAAATAAGCAAGTAACGATACTTTGTTTAATGTTGTTAAATTTGGGTTTGACATTTTTATATTATGAATATCTAGGAAATGTAGCTTAACTGGTTAAAGCGCCGACCTGTCACGTCGGAGACTGTGGGTTCAAGTCCCATCTTTTTCGATTTTAAGTTTTTAAATTTTGATTTTGTATTTTAATCGGATCTAACGCAATATCGTCTCTATGCTCATAAAAAACAGATAAAATTGCCAAACCCACTGAAGACTCGGTTGCAGAAAGAACTAAGATAAAAAATACAAAAATATACCCAACCACATCATCTAAGTACAAAGAAAACGTTATAAAACTTAGATTAACAGATAACAATAAAATTTCAAGAGACATAATAGTTTTTAAAATGTTTCCGCGATTCAATATCAAACCAAGCATTCCGATGTGAAAAAGTACTATCGCGGCACTTAATAAATAAAAATTTAATTCTGTTCCAACCATGTTTTGAGTACACTGGGGTTTGAACCCAGGACCTGTGGATTAAAAGTCCAATGCTCTACCAACTGAGCTATATACTCAAATGATTGTTTTACTTTTATACTGCGAAAAGCAATAAGAAAACAATCATCAGTACGAATAATGCAATAGCTTCTGTTAGGGCAAAACCTAAAATAGCCATTCTAAACATTTCGTCTTTCAGAGAAGGATTTCTAGAAATACCTAGAATTAAAGCACCGAAAACGATACCAATACCTGCTCCAGCTCCCGCTAATCCAATTGCTGCTGCACCTGCTCCAATATATTTAGCTGCTTGTAATAACATAAGTCATTAAAAGGTAACTTATGTTATATCGAAAGTTCAAAGCAGCTTAGTTTTTTTAAGAACTTCATCTACAATTTTTATTTTTATAGTTTTAGTCAAATATTTTAGTATTAACGGATAGTTTTTTACTTCCAGCTCTTAACGCTTCCGTTGCAACATGTTTTGGAATTCCACACACTTCGAATAAAGTGGTACCGCCTCGAACACGTGCGCCCCAATAAGAAACAGAACCTTTACCTTTACCCATACGAGACTCGGTGGGTTTAGATGTTATAGGCAAATCCGGGAAAATGCAAATCCATATTTTTCCTTTACGTTTTATTTTTCTTGCAATTGTTCGCCTAGCAGCCTCTATCTGTCGAGCGGTAATAATTCCTGAAACTTGTGCTTTTAAACCAAATTCACCAAATTTAATTGTATTATTTTTGAATTCAAGGTTTTTTAATTTTCCTTTTCGAGTTTTTTTATATTTTGTTTTTTTTGGCTGTAAAAACATTTTTAGCTTTTAAATTTAAATATTATTTTTCAGCGACCCAAACTTTAATACCATAACTTCCATTGGAATTGTGAGTCGTAATTTGAGAATAATCCAATTTTGCAGATATTGTTTGAACCGGAACGTCACCAATAATTAATATTTTATATTTTGCTCTTGGAACACCATTCAGACGACCTTTAACAATAATTTTTATACCTTTAATTTTTGCCAATCTTGATGCTATTAAAACACTTAAAGTTTGCTTTAAAAACGACAGAAAAAACTTGTGACGTTTAACTTTTTTCAATTGAAAAGCAATAAATTTAGCTAATAAATTTGCGGAATCTAAATTGTATGCAACGTTAAACAAGAGTTCAATTCCATCTTTAAAAAACGGAGTATTTTTAAATTTTTGGAAAGCAATAAAAGTTTTTTCCTGTGTAAACTTATAAAAATGTACATTTTTATTGATGCAACAGAAGTTTAGAACAATATCTACATGCGTACCAAAAAAAGAATTTAAAACTGCAAAAATTCCTGCGCAAAAACTTTCAATATTTATTTTTGTTTGATTTGATGAAACTTTTATAGATTTATTGTTCTGGGTTTCTAAGAAATTTGCAGCAAAAGACTGAGTAAGTAATTGTGAGTGAGAGTTGACTTTAAAATATTTTTTCATTTCATAGAATTTTGAAGGGTTTAGGAGTAGATTTTTGATAATTTTATTCGACGAAAATTCATAAAAAGAAATATTCTTCCGAATTTCTTTATAGATGACGCATCGATTACCATTTCCATTCTTAACAATTAATTTCTCACGACTTTTACTATTGTCTAATACAAAATCTGAAGTAATGAAATAAGAAATATATAAATTTAACGTCGATGCGTTGTAATGCTGTTTATAATCGTGCACGATCATTCCATTTGTTTCAAAAATTCGTTCGATATAATTTTTAATTTCCAAGTCTTTAAAAATATACAAAGGTAATTCCCGATTTTTTTTTTCAATAAATTCTGTCTTCCAGATTTTATTAACGCCAAGTCTAAAAATAGTTGGATTAAGTTTTTGACCCATTGAATTTTTATTTTTTCTTTTTTTTCTTTTTAAAAACAAACCTTTCTCGTGTAGGAACAAACTCACCTACTTTATGCCCAATCATTTCATCTGTTATACTCAGCTTAGCGAAAATTTTTCCGGAGTGCACACTACAAGTGAGCCCAACAGTTTTAGACGTAATTTCATAATTTCGAGATAGTAACGGCAGTTTTTTATTGAAATCTAATTTTTGCACAAACGGACCTTTCCATTTTGATCTTTTCATAAATTATATTTGTTTAATAATAAGTTTATTTATTATTTTACTAGGTTTTCCTTTTTGATTAGGCTTTCCCCACGGTGTCCGAGATCGCCCTGACTTCTTTCCTTCACCACCACCATGAGGATGGTCCACTGGATTCGTCGCTACGCCTCGCGTAGTCGGTCTTTTATTTAACCATCTAGATTGCCCAGCTTTCCCTAATCTTGTTAAAAAATATAATTCTTTTGAAACTTCCCCAATTGAAGCAAAGCACTTTGAGGAAATATATCGCAGCTCACCTGAGCTTAATTCTATAACTGCATAGGTTTCAGTTTTTTCTTTTATAATTGAAAACGTACCTGCAGATCTGGAAATTTGAGCAGGACTAAATAATTTTGGAGAAACATTATATATAGGTGTTCCTATAGGAATGTTTCCAATAGGTAAAGAACTTCCTAAGCTGGGTTCTGTTTCTAACCCTGATTTTACTATATCACCAACTCGAAGGCCTTGAGGAGCTATGATGTAACTGAATTTTTTATTAATAAAATTAAACACAGAAGCAATAAAAGCATTTCTGTTCGGATCGTGTTCTATTGTACAAATAATACCTATAGAATTAAATTTTCTATTAAAATCAACTTTTCGGTATCGTTTTTTTACCCCACCTCCTTTATGAAATACTGTGATTTTACCCGAATTATTTCGACCACTTGAGTTTTTTTTTCCAATAATTTTATCTTTTAGTAAAGGTTTTTTACTAACGTTTAAACTTTTTTGATTTAATTTAATTAACTGCCTCCTTGAAGCAGTAATTGGTTTTACTTTTTCTAATATCATTGATATAAAATAAACATGTCTTCTTACTTTTAATGAATTTATCAAATACATTATTTAATAATTTAACAAACAGACTAAAATTAGAAGCTTTATTGCTGCAAGAAGAAAAACTTTATGTCGAAAATTTATTGAACCAAGTTGCTTATCTAAAAAAATTAAAAACGAATGACTATAAAAATTTAGGTTTGCAAAAATTTGCTACGTACACTAATAAAGAAAAAAATTTACAAGATTTTATTGTTGTTTACATAGTTAATATATCGTTTTTAAAAGCCAATACTGCACTTCACGTTTCTGATATTCAGGGGAATTTAAAACTTTTTTTTTCATCAGGTTCCGTGGATTTAGCAGGCAAACAGAAAAAAAAACGAAGAATTGCAGTTTCCAAATTAATTTCCTTATTATTTAAAAAAGCTAGTTTTTTGGGGAAAAACCCTGTAGCATTGCATTTAAATAATGTAAACTTTTATAAAAATTTAATTATTCGCAAACTGAAACGAAGTTTATATATAAAAGTTATAAAAATATTTAATCAAACTCCTTATAATGGATGTCGAAAAAAAAAGTTACGGCGCAAAAAGTATACCAAAAAGTTTAAATAAATAAAAATCTAAGGAGAAATGGCTGAGCGGTTTAAAGCGGTAGACTGTAAATCTACTGAGTTTTCTCATCGTAGGTTCGAATCCTACTTTCTCCTTTTTTTCTTCTCTTTAACATTTTTATGATTCGAAGTATGGCGCAGTTGGTAGCGCGCCTGTTTTGGGAACAGGAGGTCATGTGTTCAAATCACATTATTTCGATAAATTATTTTTTTTTGTTAGTAAATAACTCGTTTTCAAATGTCTATCGAACGATTTATACAAATTAAACACATTCGTTTGATAAGAAAACGAATTCAACCCTTTCAATTGTGATGTGGAATATATTTTATTATTAAATTTTACCGCAATTAATTCAAATGAAGGCTTTAAATTAAGGGTTATAAATTTAAATTGCAGTTTCGTTGTTTTAAAATTTGAATGAACAAACAAAACAAAACCGCATATAGCAGAACTTAAATTCTGATAAATGGAGCTTCTAAGCAATTTTAACGTAGTACCATTTAAGACTTTTGAATATTTTAATTTTAATTTTTTTAAGTTTTGTTCTGTTCGAATCCATTGATTTAAATCCAATTTTGCCGAATGAAACAGAAAAAAAAAGTCATTAGTTTTAAAAAATTTTTTTAATTTAACACTTTGATAATCTTTTGAGTTAAAATCCATATAAAACAATCTTTCAAATTATTATAGAATAATAGGCCCAGTAGGATTTGAACCTACGACAAAGCCGTCATGAGCAGCATGTTCTACCAACTGAACTATAAGCCTGGAAAAATAAAAATATCTTTTAATGAGAATTAGTATTGGACAAATTATAATCCTTCTAATAATAAGTTTTTTATTGTTTAGTGATTTAAACAATTTTAAAAAAAAATTGACAAACTTTCTAACACATGTGACTAAACTTGTGAATAACAAAAACAGGAAAAAAGGGACTTGAACCCCTGCCCTTCGGTTTTGGAAACCGCTGCTCTACCTACTGAGCTATTTTCCTTATTATCTTTTTAAATGTATAAACAAACAAACTTTGCGTAATTAATGACTTCGTATTATAAATATTACTTAGAAATAAAAAATAGAATTTTACTAACAATTTTTACTTGGATTTCACTTTTATTAATATGCTACCTTTTTAAGGAACCTCTTTTATTCATTTTTATAAATTCAAATAAATATTATTTAAATACTACGCCTTATTTCATTTTTACAGATGTAGGTGAAATTTTTTATGTTTATTTGTCTTTAGTATTTTTTATAGCAAATCAAATAACAATTATAATGTTATTTTATCATAGTTTAATGTTTTTGGCTTTAGGCTTATATCGACTTGAGTACTTACAGCTACGATCAGTATTTAAAATTTTTATCTTTGTTTGGGTCTGCTCACTTATCTTACTTAAAGAATTTGTGATACCCTTTAGTTGGTCATTCTTTTTAAGTTTCCACAAAACCGAGGAAATATTGCAGCCTACATCATTTTTTTTTGAGGCACGGATTAGTGAATACATGATATATTTTAAAAATTTATATTATATTTGTTTAATTAATTGTCAAGGTTTTGCTATTTTAACTTTTTTGTTAAACAACATGAGCAATACCATTGGAACAATCAAAACTTTTAGAAAACTTTTTTATTTTTTATTCATATTATTTTCAACATTTGTAACGCCACCAGATATTATTAGTCAAGTTCTTATGAGTTGTAGTCTAATTATAATGTATGAATTATTAATTTTTTTTAAATATTTAATTAGGTAACCAATTAAAGCTGATAAGGATACCAACTGTAAACATTAAATAACCAATCGCAAATGGCAAAAAACATTTCCATCCCAAATGCATTAACTGATCATACCTATATCGTGGCAACGTTGCTCGAGTAAGGATAAAAAAAACAGCACCGACCCCCACTTTTAGCGAAAACCAAACACTACCCGGTACAACGGTAAAAGGGAAAATACTAAGTGGCGGAAGCCAACCTCCAAAAAATAAAGTTGCCGATAATGCACTCATTAATAACATATTTGAATACTCTGCTAGAAAAAATAAAGCAAATGTCATAGCTGAGTATTCTACATTGTATCCTGACACTAATTCAGCTTCCGCTTCAGGTAAGTCAAAAGGATGTCTGTTTGTTTCCGCCAGCATTGATATATAAAACATAATAAATAAAGGAAAAAGTGGAACAAGCAACCAAATTTCTTTTTGAGCCAGCACAATTTTACTAAGATTTAGTGAACCCACACAAGCAGCGATGCTTAAAACAATAAAACCGATAGAAATTTCGTAAGAAATCATTTGTGCGGCGGAACGCAAAGCACCTAAAAAAGCATATTTTGAATTACTAGCCCATCCAGCTAATATCAAACCATATACATTCAACGATGAAATAGCAAAAATGTATAGAATACTAAGATTAATATCAGCTAAAACCGCGGTATGAGAAAACGGAATTACGGCCCAGCCAATTACACTAAGTAGAAATGATAAAATTGGGGCTAATAGAAAAACTGTAAGGTTTGAGTTACTTGGGAAAGTCGTTTCTTTAACAAATAACTTCAATCCATCTGCTAACGCCTGAAGTAGTCCGATAAACCCAACTACATTTGGTCCCCGACGTCTTTGGACAGCTCCCATGATCTTTCTTTCTGCAACTGTAAAATACGCAACAGCAAGTAACATCGGGATAGTAATACTAAGAATTTTTAATAAAATTATAATTATACTATACAACATTTATGAATTTAAAAGCTAAAACCGGATTTGAACCAGTATTTTAAGATTTGCAATCTCGCACATTACCATTATGTTATTTAGCCAACTTTTTTAGGGAACAATTAGGACAGAGTGGGATTCGAACCCACGGTATTTGTTAGAATACAACAGTTTTCAAAACTATCGCCTTAAACCACTCGGCCATCTATCCGCTACGATAATATATGATAAACCATCAACGAAAGCAACTGAAGGGATTTGAACCCTTAACTTTAACCTTGGCAAGGTTACACTCTACCAATTGAGTTACAATTGCGATGAATCAAAAATTTTTAACAAAAGGCATTTTGAAAGAATTCAATAAATAAATTAATTCTTTTCGAGTTTTAGTATTTGTTATTAGAATTATATTTAAAGGAGGTAAGTTATTAAATAAATAAAACTGTTTCTCCAATTCTTTAAAATCAATTAAATCTAATAATGTTAATGAAAAACTTTTATTCTTTAAATTTTTTGAAATATTTATTCCTTTAAAATCTTTTAAATTTGGAAAAACTTCAGTTAAAAGTTTAAAAAAGAATTGATACATTTTATTTTTAGTTAGAACAACCGTACAACCAACAGGGTAGCCTTTTCTTATTTTTAACAAAATATTTGCTCGCTTAGATTTTGTAATTGTACCTTGTTTAGTTGTGATTAATTCTAGTGAAAGAAGCGATGCAGCGATATTTTTAATCTCAAAACTTTTACATCCAAAATTTAAAATTATTTTTTTTAATTCAGGAATATCTTTTAGCTGATTGTAAAAAAACTTGTTTATTAAATCATATTTGATTACTTGCTTATAATAATTTTCTAATAAATTCATTTAAATTAAACCGACAGATAAACTGGCAAATTTTATAAATTTTTTTTTTTTTAATATTTTAGGCATTGGTCCCAAAATTCTGGTACCTATAGGATTTCCTTGTTTATTTAATAAAGTTACAGAGTTTTCACTTAAAAGAAAAAACGATCCATCTCTTTTTTTAAATTGAGTTTTCGTGCGAACTACTAAAGCCCAAAAAACACCACCTTTTAAAACTTTTGAAGTTTTCTTAGACTTATTTCGAAGCTGCTGAACAGAAACGACTATTATGTCGCCTAATTTAGCATATTGTTTTCGGAAGCCTCCTAAAATTTTAATACATTTAACAGTTTTTGCGCCGGAATTGTCGGCAACTTTCAAAATCGTTTGTTGTTGTATCATAATTGACTTTCTTTTTTGCGTTTATAGCTCAATTGGACAGAGCGTTGGATTTCGGTCCCAAAGGTTATAGGTTCAACTCCTATTAAACGTAACATTTTTTATCTTTACCATCGAAAATTCGATAAGTACCGTTTATTCAATAAAATTTGATCTTGTAACTTTGTTTTTTGCTCAACGGATAAACCTCTGAAAGCAGACGCATCTAAGATTTCCTCACAGAGTCTTTTAGAAAAACCGTTAGGACTTTTATCTTTTTTTGCAATAAAATTAATAGACTTTAAAGCATTCATTACTCGAAGTGAATTTTTTACTATAAAAGATAAAATTATTTTTTTTGACTTTCGTTTCCCCTTTTTCACAATTTGCTCATTTATTTTAAATGCAGGCGTTAAATTAATAATAGCTAACTGAATTATGGTTTGAGAATTTTTCCTAGTAGATCTTTGAAGGGACTTTGAAAGTTTTAACAAAATTTTTTCTCCTGTACGTTTTTTTCCATTTTTCATAAGACTATTTACAATTTTATTTTTTATAATTATTAAATTATTTTCTTTTTGCTCTATCATACATATTTTTTTGGTTTTTTAGTACCATACTTTGACCTAGATGTTTTTCTCGAAGATAAGCCTGCAAAATCTAGTTTACCTCTAACTAAATGATATTTGATACCAGGTAAATCTTTAACTCGGCCCCCTCTAATAACAACAGTCGAATATGCTTGTAAGTTGTGTCCTTCTCCGGGAATATAAGCGTAGACCATCTTATTGTTTGTAAGTCGTAACTTTACAATTTTACGTAAAGCAGAATTTGGTTTTTTTGGAGTCCTTAACACTAATTTACTGCAAATACCCTTTTTTTGCGGACATTGGTCTAAAGCGGGAACTTTATTTAATTTTTTTTTCTTTTTGCGACTTTTTTGCTTCTTGCAAAGTTGATTGATTGTAACCATTAATTTTAAACTAAAAAAGTTTTACCAAAAAGGGGACTTGAACCCCTACTCTACAAAGAACTAGAACCTAAACCTAGCATGTCTACCAATTCCATCATTTTGGCTAATAAAAGACGTTGATCAACTCTTTTAAAAACGTACCTAGATACATTTAAAAAAACCTTGAGTACTTTTTATAAATTAAAAATTTGAATAAAAATTCTCTTTAATTACTCGTTACCGGAATTGAACCGATACTCTAAATAGAATCAGATTTTAAGTCTGACGTGTCTACCAATTCCACCAAACGAGCATTTTTTAATTTAACGACAATCAAAATTTGGAGATAATCGGACTCGAACCGATAACTTCATGCTTGCAAAGCATGCACTCTACCAATTGAGTTATATCCCCTTAAAACTATTTTTTAAAACAAAAATTATTTTTTTTTACGCACAATAAGATCGTAACTAAAAAGATTTGGCAAAAAAACTAAATTTAAATTTAACGAGTTTTCTTTAAACAGCTTTTTAGTTCGAAATTTTAAAACAGTAAGCACGTCAGGTAACAATCGCAAAGCAATAAATGAGTAATAAACGACTGCACTTATTAATGAACTAAATAAAACAGTAGATAGTGTAGTAAAATCAAGTTGTGGTATTGAAAAAAACTCTTCAGGTTGGATTTGAACCAACGACCAGGTGGTTAACAGCCACTTGCTCTACCACTGAGCTACAGAAGAGTACACTAAGCTTTTTTAATGTGACCAATAACAGAGTTTAAATTTAAATAATGATTAAAAATTGGCATCAAGTTTAAGTCTTTTGAATAAACAAATAAAACTTGAAGAGTCTTATAATTCACTAATAAATGCTTCGGCGGCACTGGCCAAAAGTTAGATTTATCAAGACTTTTTTTAACTAAAGCTCGTGACTTTGAACTGTGTGCAATTTCAATTAAATCGTTTGGTCTTAAGAGATAAGACTTACTTTTTACAGGCTGACCGTTTACCAATACATGACCATGCAAGATTAATTGAGAAGCTTCTTTTATACTTAAACTAAAACTAATTCTATAAATTACAGTATCTAACCTACTTTCGAAAAACCTTAAGATATTGTATCGGAAGTCTACTAAATTAGGATTAATATCGTTTTTAACACTAATAGCTCGAAGAATGGACTTTTTTAAATACTTTTTTTTCAAACCACCATAAAAAAGGCTAAAGAATTTTCTTTGATATAAATTATTTTTAAATTTTCTTTGTAACGAGTTTCCTCGACTAGCAAACTTCGGAGCTGACAACTGAAATTGATCTTTTATCTTGAATCGTTTATAAAATCCAAGTTGATTTTCTGAATATTTTTGAAATCTTTGCCATTTTTGTTTTTTGAATCTAAACAACTTTGCTCGATTTTGAACATTTTGCCTTAGCCTCAAAAACTGTTTATAAAAAGGTTTATATCGTTTTTTATATTTCATATTAAAATAAAGTTGTTACTATAAACAATGGAACGTTTCTTTTTTTAAAACTTTTTTCTATGCTTACTAAAAAGTCGCGGATTTTGTGAAACTGGGATAGATTTTATTTGTTTGGATTTTAAGGTTTTAAAAAGAAAATTTAAACCTATAAAAAAAATGTTTTTATCGAACGCTGTTAATATATTTTTAAAATTTCCATTTATAAAATAAGAACCCTGAATTATAAAATCTCGAAAATCAATATTGATAGCAAAAGCTATTACAGGAACTTTTGCTCCCCAAGCTTCCGAAAAAACAGTATGACTTTTATCATGGTCAAACAAAATAATAAGATCAGGGGCTTTTGCTAATTTAGGAGCTATTGCTGCTGAGTAATGTTTTGAAAATCTTTGTTTAGAGTTTTTCACATCTAACAACAAATTTGACTTATTATTTGAAATAATTCCTTGAATATTAAAACTGTTTGATACCGCTACATGTTGGTTAAATGAATTAATTTTAAACTCTAATTTAGATGGTAATCCAATAAATAAAATACGTTTATTGGCTTGATTATATTGATAAATAATTTGTAACGCTTTTTTAACACCAATAAGAATCTGATCTAAGTTTCTCTTCTTTAAATCATTAAAATTCGTTTTTTTAATAGGGTATTCATAAATTCGAGATTTTAACAAATGCAATTTTAAAAGTTGTTTAGTTTTAAATTTTTTTGTTTTCATTAAATTTTTTTACCTTTTTTTAAAATTATTTTTTCTTGATCGTATAATATGCCTTTCCCTTTGTAAGGTTCTGGTAGTTTACAATTTCTAATTTGAGCAGCTGTTTGCATCAACAGATCATAAGAACTGTTTCCAAAAAGGAACAGTTTAGTGAATTTTTGACAATGTGAACCTATTCTTGAAGGTATTCGAAAATAAACTAAGTGACTATAGCCAAGTTTTAAATATACTTGATTTACCAAATTTTCATGCGTGAACACTCGATAACCCACACCAACTAAATTTAATTTACAGTACAATGTATGCGTGATCTCTATTAAGATTTGTTTAATTTTAGCGATCGTTGTGCCTTGTATTTTTTTTATATCCTTAATACGTAACACAGACTTATCTTCAATGGATACTTGACTTGCTACAATCAAATTAGACGCTGGTATTAAGAAAAGTTTAATTTTCAGTTTGAGCGATTTTGTGAATAATGGCCCCATAAAAGTTATTATATTTTTTTTATCACAATAAATAATTTGAATATTTTTTGGTATTTTTATAGAATATCTTTTTTTTAAATTTTTCATTTAATTAATCACAACAAGAGGTTCTCCTCCAATTTTATATTTTTTACATTGATTAATTGTTTTCAAACCTTTGTTCGTTGAAAAAACAATAAAAGTTTTACTAGAATCTAGTTTCCAAATTTGTTTAGCAGAATAATAAAGCCGCTGA